GACGTTCTTCTCTATGATGGGAAAGATGAGAGATGTATGTCGTGTCCGTAAGAAAACACGGGAATTCAGTAAGCATCCCGAACCAGGAGTCCAATAATGAAGTGCGGTGCAAAATCTGTGTCGCTTCTTCATTTGAAAGTGGCAACAGCCGTTCTACGTATCGATTCAACTCGAGGACTGGATTTTCATATGCGAACTCTTGGAGGAAGAGACTTCAAACATGGAAGGCGACGGCGCTTCTTTTGGCGCCGAGCGTCAGGGTCTGCTGGCTGTCCGCTTTCGCGTGGTATTGACGAAGTCCCTCTGTTTGCATCTTCTAGAACTGGCTCCGCCCTTTGTGCTCGCAGATGGAGTGTGCGAGGCAGGGTACGGTGCAGTACAAACTTCCCAATTCCTCCATGGATAAGGAAACTTGGATAGGCACGTTATATTTTGGGCGACAAGTTGAGCGCCCGATTCTGGGACACCATCGGATACCGCCATTTCTCACTTGGATCTCCGTATTGTAATTACGAATGGCCGGGATGGTTGCAACGATCAGCTCATCCCGGATCAACCGCTCGCCTGGGATGGTTGACCGCATGGATGGTGCGCAATTGCCACGGCGTATCATTCTCGTGGATGCTTTATTTCTCTGTTAATCTGCGTTCGATTGGTTGGCGGTGCCGAGACATTCATATGCCTGAGCTTCCAGCAAAGTATCTGTCCCGCCGCGCTATTTACCCAGACGATGCACTTTGAAACCTGAAAGGACTGACCGCTGAAGCGGCAGACGGATAATCCGTGTATCTCTACCTGCTAGCTCATCACTCAGATGACATATGAGACAAAAGCAATAAGACATTGAAAAGATTTGCTCACAAATTCGGCATCACGCGTGGCCGTGCGTCTGGCAGCCGACGGCAGCTATGCTGATCACGGCCTATTTAGCAGAACGCAGAGTCCAAGCTTCAAGACTTGACCCTGGTAAACAAACGAACGTTTTGCTGGGCACGAGAAACTCGTCTTTGTAACTCTGACACTGCCTTTTTCCTGAGTCCTCATATACAAAGAACGATGTTCCTTCACGTTCCTCGACACAGCAGAACTTCCAATCCATCGACCAAATTTACGACGCCTTTTCATGCCTTTCAATCTCCCCATCAAGCATCCCCAGATCCTCCGACTCAATACAATGGATTCTCATGCGAAGACCATGTCTGGCAGTAGCCGACCTGGAGACTACAGCGCTTCGACTCTCGAAGGCGGGAAAGCAGACCAACATCATCCCAACACCCCCTCGCCCCCTCACTACAACGACAAGGCTCGTGACATCCATGAAGCCTTCAGCAAGACCAAAGCTGAGATCCTGAGGGATCGAAGAAGTTGGCACTACTTGTAAGCCCGAATTCGAATATCCTCAATCGTTTCAATGCTCATGCCTTTCTCAGAGATGCAGGCCTTCGTGGTCAATTCATCATGACCCCTTTCTTCCAACCACTGGAGGATAACCTTCTGCGGAGTGTTCACAAGACAATCCAACATGCTCCAGAGCAAAACAGGCCTCTCACCGGGGAGGAACTCGAGATACGCGTCTTGGAAGCACTGGTAGCCGCCATGAATGTCAACAGAAACCTGATGGTGATTGGCGGAACATCGCTGGTCAAGACTATTGATGCAGTTAGTCATCAGGACGCTTCGGAATTCAGTAAGAAGATGTCAGAGGTTGAGTCGCTCCAGCGCAAGATCGCGCTTCTTGAGACCAACCTGGCTCTAGTCCAACGAGAGAACATGGAACTGAAGGTTCTCAACCGGGTGCAAGGAACCTCATCGGCGGCTGCGGGAATTGCTGACGTTTTCGGAAGTCGCTGAGCTGTAATATGCGTAGTTCTTGAGATTCATGGGTTGCTTGAATTCCTTTTGATCCTGTTATATTGCCTCTGCTGTGTTTATCGCCAGGCTTCCTGCTTCTCAGTGAACCACGTCTGTGTGACTCTCCCTTCTATGCATCCGCATATATCAGTCCGTTTTTCTTGCCGCAACCTGAGTCATTGTGTAAGTCCAGATGCTTCTCTGCTTGTTAATCTTTTTATTCAATTTCACGACTTTAAATTGCACCTTGGTTGTTTTCCGACCGGATGAAAAATAGTTCGGCTGCGGATCACGGATTGCGTATGGTGCAAACTGATTCGGGCGCCTCTCCCCAAGACAACCGCATACCATTCGATTGCCCTACATTTGGGTTGCCCCAATATCCGTAGTATATTAAATTATTACATACGTCACATGAGAACGGAAACTGGTTGAAGATAAACGAAGCAAGAGAACTTACAGGTACATGGGGGGGACTTGAGACGGACACTCACACGCGTCATGAGGTCTTAACCGAGTCCAACTTTTGAGCCTCACATGAACACATGGACTTGAGCCTGGCTCCATGCTTCCGTCATACGCTTGGCTTCATACGGTCATTCGTACCATTCGATTCTCATTTCACGCGGCAAATCATGCCATGAAGTGGTTCTTGCAATAAACTGGTCATGACATGGACCTTCGTAACAAATGGATAAAAGCCAATTGGACACGATTCTCATTTCATGCACATTGTTAGACACTTCGAATTCGGATTTTACAGGACAGATTTCCACATTTCCCCCCCGAAGGCGTGCTCAATAAGTAAAAGGCACTCAAGTCAGCAGCCCGGAGCCCCTCCACCCTGACAGTTCCTGCTTGAGCGTATGTAGCCTAGGCTGCGATTGCCGGGATGAACATGAGAATGTCGGTGACCACGCTCTTGAGGCGAGAGATTACACGAACAGAGTGGACGTATGCATCGCAAACAGACTGGGATGCAGAATCCTCCGCGGAAGAGACACGAAGGGGAAGACACAAGACAGATCCCGCGACCTCAAGCAGGACGGCCAAGACCAAGCCGATCAGCACTAGAGCCACCGCAACTACAGTCCATCCGAGACCTCGGAGACACTTCTTGGTAATCTTGGCCGCAGTTCTTCCGAGAAACGCCTTCATGTTGCCAGGCTGCGCATCCTGCATTTGCGTAAGCACGTCGGAGATCAGGGCCCGGGATATACACAGATATGAAAAGAGACGCTGCATACCATTGATTCCTCCTTGGAGGGACTTGCTGTGCGAAGACTTGGCATGGCTCGGAGATGCTGGGTTTCGGGGTTGGCGAACGGAATCTTGGATTTCTCGGTCCACGTTGGAAGGCTCATTTGACGCTTCATTGTCGCCATTGCGGTCGACCGTTGGATTGAACAAGGAGGTATGCAAAGACGGATGAAGAGAGCGTTGCGTCTGGAGCGGTTGTGGGCTTGCAAAGGACATCTGCCAGTTTTCCATTTTCCTCACGGGTATCCGCAAATATAGATCTTTTCACACTGGTCCCCAGACCGAGAAGGTTCCTGAATTGCAGGGGAAAGATGCTTCCTGAATCGCCGAACAAAGACTCACACAGGAAGTCTCACGCAATGATTCAGATGTTTCAACAAGGTGAAAGGGGGTCTCAAACCATCCGTTTGACCACGCAACGCGAAACAATCGCATCGGATACCATCATTGCAATGGCGGATGGCAGCAGTACTCCCATCCGCATGTAGCATTGGGAATAAACAGGATGAGGTCTTGCTCGGTTCAAATAACAACGAAAAAGGGCTTCTGACTTTCGTGGCTCAAATCATTTGGATATGATTCTGCCTGACGTCGCAAAATCCACATACACTCTGTCCGGATTGACCTGGAATGCAAATGCCACTGCACCCAGCAGGTTCTGCGCCAGGTTCCAGGGCAGGTTGAACCTCGCACTGCAGGCCCCAGGACCTGATTGATTGTTGTGTTCAGCAATGCGGTCAGGGCCGAAGGTGCGCTAAATTTACAGCGCACTTGGTGCTGCGGGGACGCGGCGGGCCCACTGAGAGCAGCACCTAGAGTCCCTGTGCTGGCTGAGGCTCGCAGGCTGACGCGACTCTGTATCCCTTGCATGACGGCGACTGCTCGAGATATCGCTGCGTTTTGTTGAATCCTCTAGACGAAATTGCAATTTTGAGCCAAGGTATTCGCAAAAATCAGAGGTGCGATGACTGGCCAGTTGATAACTTCTTCTGACTGTGCTGTGAAGTTCAGTGGGTGCTTTGACCAAATGGAGGAAACCTTTGAAGTTTGGACTGCAGTTGAGCACCTGAACCTCTACTTTCACCCACTGAACCTCTTGCATGGAATCAACTTTTGGCGCAGGCTGCTGTTTAACTGCTCTGGCAGACGCAAAAGTATTGCAAGGGAGTTGATGTGATTTGGAGCGACGAGAGAAGGCCGAGGGGATGCAGGTTCAGGTGGAGTGTGTGCTTATGTAATGTAAGGTCCAGCGGGGTCCAGCAAGGTGCCTGCCTACAGCACCAGCCCACCCTTCAGACCCTTCAGTGCTGCTCCCCTGGGGCTAACATGTGGCGCCCGCTGCACGGACTTGTGGCGCTGAATCGCGGAAGCCAATGAGATTGCACGTACCATCAGGTCGGGATGGTACGGTACGGTACAAACCTCAGGGATCTCTCCTTCCATGCAGCTTCCACCACCAAGACTCCGCCCCACAGCAGGCCTCTACACGTCGCTCTTGCAGCATCAACGCTCAAACTCGACTTCATTTTCCCTCTTCCTCCGCGTTCGCATCTACGCTTTCGCATAGCAGGTCACCACCTTTGGGCACACCTTGTTGACTGCCGACCAACTCATCTTCGCCTCGCCGAACACCAGACATTCCACGTCCCACCCATGCTTCCAGCGTCAGCTACCTTGGTCGTATTAATGCGAGGGCCCTGTGCCATTATTCCTTTCGAAATCTTCCTGCGTCGCGTTTGATCGTCTCTGGAATCGCGAACTGACGCCTTGCGTGTGGCCAGCGGAACAGGCCACGTCCGCAAAACGCCACCATGGGACTTTTACAGCATCCCTCCGAAATCCTGCATGCCATAGCACTCGCCTTGCTCAATCCCCATCCGCCTTCCACGATGCAAGAGTCTGCCCCGTCTACCGGCCTCGCCGACATGGCCCGGCTGGCTGCTACCTGCCAACGCTTGCGGGACGTCGCCACGCCTCTGCTCTACACTCAATGCCTCGTTATGGACGTCGCTGCGAATACACTTACCTCGCTGGTATCAGCCCAGAACCACGTTCTGCACGCCGTGAAACAATACCGCGACCCGTGGCTGAGTCCTGATCCGACTGGGTAGGCACCTCATCACCCTACTCCCATCCTGCGCGCACCATGCTGATCCTTGCGCCTCATGTCCATTAGCTACCCCGCGTGCAATCGCGAAAGTATCATTATGGAGATGGTCATATCAGGCCGCCTCGATGCCCTTCAACGGCTACTTTCTCACGTACCATCACTCCTGGAGAAATTCTTTCTGGGCATCCGCTTGCTCGTGCCATGGCGCTGCGTCTCCGGCGAACATGTCACGACTTCTACCGACGTGGCTGCTCCCGCTTTCGCGACACCATTACATGCTGCCGCCCTTGCCGGCCAGGATCATATCATCCAGTGGATTCTGGAGCGCTGCCCGACACTCCCCGTCGATCCCGAGGCCCAGCTACGCTGCATCTGCCCTTCGTTGCACAAACACGCCGGCGTCGTTGCTGACTCGCCTACCGTCTCCGTAACGCCTCTTCACCTCGCTCTTTCCCACAACCGCAAGTCGACGGTCAAGCTTCTGATACAAAAGGGCGCCGTCTGGGATCGCTCGTTCGACTTCTCCGCCGGCGTCACCGGGCTGCACATCATGGCCGCCAACGGCATGGTCGATTTGTTGAACTGGCTCGCACGCTCGTCAAACACATGTTCCACCAACAGCGGCCTCCACGATTGGCCTGACGAGTACGGCCTGTACGCTCTACACTACGCGAGCTTCGCCCTGATGCCGGACATGGTTACGGACGGTGGATCTTCGGTTTCCGATGCCGACCGAGGCGAGGGGGACGTCATGGCCCTTTTCGACAGACAAAAGGAAGCGACGCGTCTCGTAGCCAGCCTCATAGGCATCGGCGCGATTGTCGACACGCGAAACGAGGAGAAAGCAGCCAAACGACTTCGTCAGGAAAGGAATCGCCTCGTTGTCGAGATTCTGGCGGCAGACTTGGGATGGGCCTACAGGCTGCGTTTTTGGGAGTCCGAACAGGATCTGCATTTTCTTCAGCCGGAGCCTGCCGAGTTCGCGGAGAGGGGTGGAAATATCTACGTGGCAAAGGCGCTGCAGGCGGCGTCTCGAAGCACGGCCGTTTGACCTCTTCGATTGCTTCAATATCGATCCAAATCGGAGGGAACTTGGCGAGGACTCTTTATTATCGCACGCCAAGCGACAAAGTGTGGCTGCAGGCGGTGGATTGTAGTCCTTGAAAGCATCGAAAGAAGCGACATCGCTATGAACACTTGGTCGCCACAGGCCAGTGCATACATTGGAGGCGAAAGGAGAAAAGAAGAAAAGGAAAACATGCTTTGGAGGTCGAATGTTCTTTGAGATAAGATTCTGGCCGGCTCCACACCACAACTCGAAGGCGAGAGGTGGACGGGGTTATTTCTTTTTCACGGTCCATTCAGCAAGAAATCAAACAGTAGGGGGAATGCGGAGGGTGCTCTTTCAGCTTCGTTCAATTCGAATGCCGTACTATTCGGCAGCTGTACGCAATGCCATCGGAGGAGATGTTTTCGCGTCATGGTCCCTTCATCAAAAGGTTACACAGCAGTAGAAACGCAGGAATGGCCTTTGGGGCTTGGTTTGCTCCTCAGCAGCTGTTCGCATATGCCATTGGAGGAGGTACTTCGATTTTGTTGCGGACCTGGCTTGGGTTGCTCGACGGGTAACCAGGTTCATGGTCCATTCAGGAAGAGGTTTCACATTAGGGGAGAAGCAGCAAAAGCGCTTCGGCTAGTGCTCCGTCGAGTAGTCACACAAACAAGTTAGATCCGAAAAGAATCTCAATTTTAAACAAGTCGTTCGAATCTCCATGGCCTTGAAATTGATATTTTGGGTTTTTAAAGGTGGCCGCTTGGATTTGTCGACGCATGAATTGTTGCAGGCCATCTTTGAACTTCTGATCTGAGGTTCAAGTCACCTTCTTACCCCTTAATCATTGAATTAAAGCGGCTTTTTATCGAGGCTCGCCGTCCAATAGTCTAAAATAAGCTAATGAGAGTAAATATTAGCCAGATTCAATTCACATCACAAACTCAACAACACGTAAACACTATGGCCAGCTTGAAGCATTAGTGAGGTGTGCGCGGCTCTTCGGCTCGCAAGCAAGGAGACGAGACCAGCCGGAGCCAGCCCGCTCGATAAATGATGTTATTTAGAAAGCGAATGAAATAACACAAATTACGCCATCATGGCCGGACGCACTCAAGACATAAAGAAACACCTGCTGAAAAGCACAAAAGACACAGAACAGCAAAAGCACCAGCAAAAACACACGAGGGGGGTGCTCGTCGCCGTCCTCTTCCTCTTCTTCCACAACAAAGCCTACGTCCGCCGACGGGCTATCCGGCCAATTCATCCTCACTCTCGCTCTCGATCTGGCGCTCGCTCTCCATCGAAGAATCATCGCTGATGTCGATGACGGCGGCGGCGGCAGCGGCATTTTCAGCGGCAAAGCGCTCCAACATGGCCCTGGTGGCCCTTTCAGCTTCCCGGGTGACGGCGGCCCTCTGGGCGGGAGTGAAGAAGTTGGCGGCGCGGCCCAGGCGTCTGGAAGTGGAAGAGGCGGCACCGCGGGAGACTTGGTCGACTGCGGCCTCTACGGACACGTACGGCTGGGGGCGGGCTCGGCGTCGGGGCAGGGGGACAGCCACGTCTTCGAGGTCGGAGCCGGAAAGGCCAAGCTCGTCGGGATGGTCCCGGTCGTCGTTGTTTGGGGGGTCGCTGCGGGGAGGGGACGGGGAACTGAAGCGGAAGTCGTCGTCGTCGGCGGCGGGAGGGACTGGGGGAGGGTCGTAGTCGGGCGAGGGCGACTGTGCCGGGGGTGGGTCATTGCCCCAGTCGAGAACGCCGGGCTCGTCCATGTCGGAGAGAGGATTGCCGCCGCGGAGTTCCTGCTCAGGCTCGTCTACATCCGAAGAGTCCGCCTCTGGGATCATCGATCTCTCGCGCTGGCGCTGCTCCGGCCGCCAAGCCTCAGCCTGCTCTCGAAAAATGCCTTGGAGGACTTCATCTTCATCGAAATCGAAAGGGGGAATATCCCCCTCCACACGCTCTCCGGCCAGACGGTTATTGATATTGGCGAGGATATCCTCGTCCTCTGCGAAGTCGTCGTCCAGTCCCAGGCGTCCCAAGCGCTCGATCTCATCGTCCAGGGCGGCTTGTAGGATGCCTCTGAACTCGTCATCTTGTTGGCGGCGGCGGCGGATCTCCTCCAGGCGGGCGGCGAGCTGGGCGGCGAACGGGAGCGGGCCTGCGGGAATAGGGGCTGGCGGCAGTGGAGGAGGGCGAGGCGGACCTCTATCCAGGGCTTGACGGCGCTGGTTCAGTCGGCCGGCCAGTTCTCGGGCAAACGGCACAGGGGCAGCGGGAGCGGGAGCTGGCGGCAATGGAGGAGGGCGGGGCGGTCCGGCAGCAGCCGCATCCAGAACTTGGCGACGTTGGTTGAGTCGGCCGGCCAATTCTTGGGCGAAAGGCAAAGGGGCGGCGAATGGGGGAGCTGGCGGCAAAGGCGGCGGCGGAGGTGCATCAAAAAAGCTGGCTCTGGCGGCTCTGATGACCTGGCGGGTGATGAAGGCATTCCCAGCCATTTGCTGCCGAAGCACTCCGGCTGGGTGCGCACGCGGAGCGGTATCCCACAGATGCGGGAGCCAAGGGGCGCCGTATCTTGCTGCCACGGTCCGCGAAAACGCCAGCATTTCCTTCAGAAGGGAGCCGGGAAGGTTGCCGGGCGGTATCAGATTGTACGGGACCCAGATGCCATTCGGCCATAGCTCGATAAGGCCCCGAAGATTGCGAGCGGCAAGCGCATCGGCGGGCCTCATGACGCCTGCGTCCCTCAATTCCGATCCCAGAAGCCGATGCTCTGCTTGGAGATTGGTGAGCAGGAGAGCCGAAGCTCGGGATGCGTCGGCCGGCTGCGCATCGTGGGCTGGGACGACGGTGCTCTGCACATAGTGCCGAACATTGGCTGTCGTAGGTGTCCTTCGATACGGAAAGGTATCTATGAAGTTCTACAGCATATTAGTGTCTAGTCCTTCATTACAAGCTATTGAGTTATAGTATGTTAGGTCTCAGTTCATATCACAGGATGTAGCTATCATTCATGAAGCTAGATCCTATGATATGAATATGGATATCAAGGAAAAGACACTTACGGGAGGGGGAGGGGGTCCGTCGTCGGCCATAGTCGTGCGGGAGCGGCTTTCAGCGAAGGTAGGCTGGGAAAGCGGGCGGATGATGGCGTGGGAGGAGCTCTGGACTGACACGGACAGAGAGACTCGAAGCAAGAAACGAGAGGATCTTCAACTGCCACAGCAAGCAGGTCTCTTCGGTCGCACTCCAAGGACGAAGAGAAGAAAATCCTTTCCCGCTTTCGAAATGACATGAAGTGCGCCGGCGACAAGATTCCAAAGGAAAGGACATGCCTTCCTCCAGAGTCTCTTCCTTCCCGTCCAAAGCCGTGTCGTCGCAACCCCGCACAGTGACGTTGCGCCATCGTACCTGCTGACATACAGTGCCCGTACTCTGCTAGCACTTAGCCCAGGACAGGAAGGGAAGGGAACCGAAGCTTCCTCCTTCACATTTGAAATTCCAGTTGAGTCCAATGCAGCCAGCAAGAAGTGGTTTCCAAACACCAGGGTTCAATTCAATGCTCATGACCATTCTTTCAGAGGATCATAAATGGCATATACTTCGTATCAAGGAACGCTCAGAATAAAGTGCTCACTCCTAGATAAGTTGAGAACAGAGGTCATGACATGTTCTTGCAGAAGGGCGGATTGCCAAAACGGGCAGTCATGTCTCTGCTGATTGGTGGCTAGTGGAAATATGGGGAGTTTGGCATGTTGGTTGGCGAGCTAAAGTTTGCACGGATGAGGTAGACTCAGGAACCTCCAACAACATGCTATCTCCCATCTTTGAATGCAGGCATGGATTAAATTCAGAAAAAACTCTTAATCCATCATCCGTAGAAAGCTGTAAGCTCGAGGGCGATGGTCCCCCAGATTTGACCCTCAATTCGAAACATAGAACCGCTGCATGTGAATGCCGCCGGTCGCCACTAACGTGCATGACTTGGGAGATCTGGGATTGATATTAGAATGTTTGCCGTTCCGCCATTTTTCGAGTGGCTGCGTGTTTTGCGGGTGGCCACAATCCATTTTCCGATTCTTTTTGATGCAGTTCATGATGCAGGACGATATCTTGAACCAGCGTGGGGACGCGGCCGTCGCGGGTGTTCGATCCACAGGGTGTATTTGAGTGCATGCTCAGGGGGCTGCGCCTTGAGCGTTGGGGAATTGGTTGTGCTGACATGCGGTCCTGGTGCAGGTGACCCGAAGATCACCCGAAGCGCTGCGACCGACCGTGGCTTAGACCACAACCAGAACGAGATTCCGACCATGATCTAGGCAGCTTGGTCACAATTCGACTACGAAATCGATTTCCACGATTTTAGCAATCGTGCCACACCTTAGGCTTCCAGCTTTCTTGCACAAGTGTGGTGGCGCTAAAATGTGCAGGCCCACGTCTCTGCTGACTGCACTGCATTGCATCATGTGGAAGTCCAATTGGTGTCGCTGGGTACGTACCGTACCTCCCACCAAGGTGCGCGACGCTCATTTGTCGAAGGTTTTTCCGGCGCCAATTTTGGACGCCGGAATATCTTGGTCGGAAAACCCAGCCGCCCCACCAGCAGGTTTTGGGCAGTGCACCTTGACGTCTGCCTTTGACACCTTGGTCCCTGGTCTACCCCCAGCGTCCACCCGAAGTCATCGTCCCATTGCCAATTGATTTTCTTCCATGTGCTGGACTGCAATGCACATTCTCCAAAGACGAAATCGACTTTCTGACCGCCGCTGCACTGGACACCGTCGTGCATGGCGCTCTCCAAGAATCGACCGCGCGTCCTCCTACCGCAACGACCCTCAAGTGCCGCAATGACAAGATGCTCTCCTGCAGGACTCTCGTCAACGGATTGCGCACCAAGAAGCCAATTTTCCTCTCAGCCATTCTGAAGACGCGGCGCGTAACCTGCGTCGGAATGCAAGCATCGTCAACTTCTGCCGACGATTCCATGCGTGCCCGACTCCACGTCTCCGATGTCTGCCTATCCCACCGACGCCCTCGAATACGCAGTCCGAACTTGCACCCTGGCTCCCTTGTCACCTCTATTTCCGAAGATCCTGACACCAACGAGCGACCGGCCCTGCCGACTTTGCGGCGAGCACAACGCTGCGAGCGTTCGAGCCAATAATGCTTCCTGGTTTGCATGGGACGTTTTGAGCCACACTCATGACGGTCAACAGGCTTGGACAGACACTGCTGTATGCCCAGGCAAGAGATCGGAGGCTTCAGTTGGACGCGCGTTTGCGGCTCGCGGTCGACCTCTGCACAACGGCCTCCAGTTCTGCTAAGATGTCGCCCGCGCTTCGATATGACATCATTCTGTGCGCAGCAATACCACAATCATGTGACAGGACATCGCAATTTCTTGCGAGGTCCTATCACATGACCTTGCCTGACTTCGTGCAAGTACGTCAAGCGCGACTTCCAGTGTTACGCAAGAACGAAACGCCTCGGCAATAGCAGTACGTGTGCACGCCGCTTTCCCAAAGCTGTGATGGCCCGACGGGTTGACCGCAGGAGCGCGCTGACCGAAGCCAGATATGCAGCTGCCACACCCATCGAGAATCCCTTTGGTTCTTTTCCTCGCGACATCCACCACCTGGGCCAAGCTATCAACACATCCTCCGACGCGAGCACTCAACATCGGGGTGTAGCGCACCCGAATCGTTGGCTACGGACCGGAATACACCAGACGTCGACATGCAGGAGAACATTTCTGTGCATGTCGTACGCGCTTCGTACCCGCCAATGGCTGGTGATTGTTGACGATCCATGCCTCTCTGGCCCAATCCGCCTCAAGCTGGAAGCGCTGTCGGGCTATTCGCCAGGCCCATCCATTCAGCAAGACTGGTGGTTGATGGGACGAGACGGTTGATGCTGACCTGGCTGTGGCCATGGCCTGGCCGCCTCGCATGCTCGGTCCGCTTCTGCTCGTCGACGGCATCGATAACGGGAGACAACCATCCCTCCATCTTCCCGGGGGCCGCCAATGCTTCTGTGTCGACGCTCGACTGCCATTCAACGTCTACACCCACGACCTAGTCGGCGGTATCACTGCGTCCTACACCGCCAACCACGCCGCACCCCTTCAAGCCGAAGGCGTCGACACCCTGCGGAACACGACCGTTCCTGTCTGCCTGCTGCCTGATGCCATTTATTGGCTGGCCATTCAATCGCACATCTGCTCGACGGGCTGTCGTCCAATCATGCTGGCCCATCTCCCACAAACATACAGATTTTTGTGCACAAGAAGGATTCGCAGATCCGACAACATCGACCTCCGCTCGTCTTGGAAACCTGTCGATAACGTCCCCCACGCTCCATCCCTACGCAAATGATCGATCACATTATCGTTGCCTTTCAGGGTTGCCGCCCGGCCGACCAGCGATTCCCCTACCCGGCCCCGGACGATCAATACGTTGGAGCTGTCCGCCGGGCCGCCATGCCGGTGCCGTCTCAGCCCAGGAATAGATTGGTACGAACGTCTTGCCATGACGGGGCCTTGCAGACGCTCTCAGAACGCCAGAACCTCCAGGAGACATCAGAAACGCAGGCGGAACCCCCACATTCACTCCCTCTTCCTCCACAGCATCGATATGTCTCGTCATCTGGCATCTCGACGGCATTCTGGCACCTTTTAGCCGCATCGTCACGCCTCCGCACGACCAATCGCTCCGAGATATCCGCGAGGTGTAGCTCTTCGGGACGACAATTGCGACCTCTGAGAGGCCTCGTCCTCCGGAGCACCGTACTCCTCGCACCCGCTGTCGTGCCCCATCCGCCACAAAGGCGTCTGGATACGTGCTCGTACAAAGGGCATGCACACATGGCGTACAGTTGTCGGACCCCCAAATAAACACAGTTCACGCTACCATTTCCACATGTCCATTACCCACAACCGCCCTTCCACTGCTCCATACCTCTGCTGGGTTCGTCTGGGTCGCCTACCGGCGTGCCTCAACATCAGCAAAGCGGCACCGGCGCTCTCTGAGATGGTGCCAACACCTTGCTGTTGCTTTTACGCCAGGCCATGTTGATTAGCGGCGGCGCGCACATCGCGAGAACGATCTCGTGCCGGCAAATTGCTTACAGCCTCTGTTCTTCTTGGCTTTCCATGCACCTGCAGACCGTGTCATCTCTTTGAGCCGGGACTCAGTCTATTCTCCGGAACTCTGCGCTTCAAGCGGTTGCCACTACTCGACGTCCTTGACATTGTGCCTCCGGAAAGCCTCGGTCGATCTCACATCTCTCGTGGCCGCCATGGTTGATTCCTGCCAGCATGCGCACAGTTTCACGCCAGTAGTCGGCCGGCCTGCGGAAAAGACCAAAGTCAGCCGTGTCTCTTTCGATGGCATCTTCAACCTACACCTCTGCTCTTACACGGATCACTTCCCCCCACCATCGGGAAGTCAACTCGACAGCGCGGTTCCAGGCTTGTCAACCCGAATCCTATTGTCCAATATGTTCGTCTGTCCTGGCTGACCACGGTACATCATCAGCGCGGGGCCTCGCAAACGCATCGGCTGGACCCAACCCTCAGCCTCGACCCCATGCCGCCCGCTTCACCACAAGGTTCTGGCCAACCTTCCAATCATGCGCACCAAGTGAACCGCACGTCTCCAGGCTGAGTCACATGCTCTGTTCTGTCCGGCTAGCCAACAGACCGAGGCGACAGATTGCGGCCCCATATCGCATATCCATCCGCATTCGTAGCCATTGACCTGGCCGTCACCTCATGGATGATGAGGAGGCAAACTACAGCAACGGCCAAGTGATGGGTGACTGGTTACCTCGCCAACTGCTTGACAAGATGACACTTACCGTCGCATGCTTTCCCTGGCTTTCTTCGTCTGACTTTCTGGATATTCTTGGCGACTGTGACCTCGGAAGACTTTGATGCTCGGTTTAGCCAGGGTAGGAATACGCACGGAAACATCGTGAATGCCACAACAACCATGACGATGATCGTGACTTTGTGGATATGGGCACAGCTTCATGAACCCGGCATGGACAAAGCGACATGACGGCATTCCTCCACGGTTGACTTTGTCGGGTTGAC